CCATTTGATGAATTTATTTATGGTCCATTATATCAAGAACACAAGATAAGATCATAATGTTAATAGGCCACCAGTGTTGATTCAAAGGTAAAAACAAATTTTTCAAAGCAGTCGAAGTTTATATTATAAGCATGTAAAATGTTTGAAAAATGCTTAAGCAAAAACTTATGCAATATGTAAGCTTAAAAAATTTTGCAAAATGTAAAAAGTGAAATAAGACTCACAATATATGCTTATCTTTCTTAATTCCACAGATTTCAACTTATAATCTATGTCATTATTATGTAATTTATTTTGTGTTTTAGGTATATGTTTGACTATAATCAGGAGAATGCGAGAAAAAACGCAAAAAGAAAGAAAGATAACAGTTATTTGTTCTAAAAGCATATATATAATATTTATATATATTATGTTTATATATATATAAATTTTTATTTAACTTTTTTATGCAGTATTTAGTGCAACAATTTGTCATAAATAATTGCTCAATATATATTTATGTAATTGATTTTTTCTCGTAAATTTTTTTTATCGTTTAAGAAATAGATTTTTAGAATATGATTTTTTTGTAAAGTAAATTTTGCGCTTGCTACGGAATTTTCCGGCAGCAGATTTTTTCCAGAAATTGTCTGTTATTTTACAGAAAAATCAGTCACTTGTTAACGGAAATATCTGTTATTACAATGATAGATATTTTCCGTAATTTATACGGAAATTTCCTTTAATACTTGATTTTTCCGTAAAGTAACGGAAACTTTCTGGATAATCTGCTTCTATTCCGTAAAAAACGCGATATTTTTTTAACAATGTAGTTGGCAGTACCATTATATATTGTATAGTGTGTCAAAAGCACTGATTCTTGCTCACTTGAACTCAATCTTGCAATGTTTTTTTAAAGTTGCCTGCAGTGTGTCTTTAAAAAAGAACTTGTAATTGCCTAGGGCGCCGTTATATTCAGTGAGATTAAATCTCGTTAGTAAGTTTGTATGCTCAATTGCACCATTCTAATAAGAAAAGTACAAAACCATGGTTTTTTTTATTGCGAACTTTCGCCCCTCCCTAGATTCCGACCTGAATCGGGATTTTAAGACCAATCCTATTTGTAATTGTAAAATGTGTAATTAAAATAAAGTTTCAACATATCACAGCTTACGGTCCGTAGTGATAAGAAAAATATTGTTTTTTTTCTTCCCAAGTCATGAGTTAAATTTTTATATTGAGCATCCGTGGTGCAGTGATTTTTATATTGAGCATCCGTGGCGCAGTGAACATGGAACTGGTAGTACAAGGGTTGCGAGTTTGAAACATATACGTTATCGGTTAGGCTTGAAATGGGGAACCAACTCATTAAATGCTTATGCCCTGGTGGCGGTGCTTTGTGATAAGACAATTAAGTTTTATCACACATAAGACCATTAAAGTATTCTTTATAAAAATAATTTTAAAGTATATAGTGACGACAAAAAATATGGCACAAAATGATGTTTAATATGTAATGATGTATTTTTAAGAGATCTAAGTTTTTGGGATCAAAAATTTTTTAGCCTTACAAAATGTTAGTTTTGAAGTTAACATTACTTAGTAAAAAAATGAATTAAATTTGTAAAAAAAAATTAATTATAAAAATGATTTAGAGCTAAATCATTTTTATAATTAATTTTTTTTCAGAAAAAGGGGGCAATTTAAATAACACACCCTGTTAAAGAATGATCATATTATCCCATGTGTATAAATATCATAGAAGTGCTTTGTATAAATGGTTAAGAAAACTTTGTTTGAGGTAAATTAATATTTAGTGGGATATCCTTTTAAGTCAATAATTGCTTGGCAACGACGTTCCATTGAAGAGATCATTTTTTGGAATTGCTCGGGCGTATTGACATTTCAAGCAACATTAATTTTGATTCAAATTGGTCTGATTTTATTGCAGTTGATCGATTTATGTTTCTATCAACTTTCTTCCACAAAAATTGTTTTTATTGGATTGTGCGGGCAACTTTAAAACATCAACCTTGTTAGCGCTAAACCACATTTAAACACTTTTGGCACTGTGCCGCCAAATGTGTTTGGCACTGGAGTCGTTGTCAAAACGGCAGACGAGATTACGAGATTAGTCCAATGGTTTTATTCGGGCAAATGGTTTTATTTGTTTTATTTCTTCTATTTATATTTATTTCGCAACTTTTGATTGTGCTGACAGACAGATTGTATTGTAAATTTTGAGCGATTTGATCTTTAATTTTTGGTACGCCAGCAAAAAGACTTAGGTTAGCGATATGGACAACGGCTGCATCCTCTCTGGGGTTGTCTTTCTTTCGCAAAACTTGCGTTTTTTGTTGCTTAATGAACCAGTATTGTTAAATAAATTATTATCATTGATAACTTTTTTTAGAGAATAATCCAATTTTTGAACTATTTCAGAGTTGTTCAGTTCTTGATCTCAAAATGCCTGTAATTGTCCTCAAAAGACAAAAAGACATCTGTTTCATGTTTACCTCTACTGAGTGTAATGATTTTTTTTTTAATATAATTTAAGAACTTTTTTTTTTTAACAAAAAGTAAAAGTGTAATATTTAAAATGACCTAAAAAATTTAAATGCGACCTCTAAAATATTCAAAACTAGCAATTTTGATAGTTATAAATGTCTAATTAGTTTTTTTTAAAAAAGTTAACATAGTTAATGCTAAAAAAACATAAAACTTTATATCAAAACGTTAAACCAACTGGTCATTGTTGGCACAGTAGATAACACAAAATTGTATGCATTTTTAACAATATAAAAAATTTTGTCAAATATTTAGTACACATTAGTCATTATTGTTCTCGGGTTTAACCTGTGGTTGCAATACAGATGATAGTGAAATGTTTTTTCTTTTGTTGATATTCTTGTTGGCACAATTTTCTATATATATATTTTTTTTCAGTCAATATCCTTTTTTTTTTCTTTTTCTTTAAGTCGCTTAGCAGCTTGATAAGTCGCAGTTTTTTCATTCGCATTTTTTTCTTTCCTGTTTGATTTTGTCTTGATGATATTTCAGCTTTGTATAGTACCGTTTATGAGAAGTTAAAACGAAGTATTAAAGCTGAACTTTTCTATTCGCTATCTTTTTCCGTGCTGTTGCCTCATCATATGCTAAGACATCATCATTTTCATAACCTGCATTGATAAAAACATATACTCAATAAAAGTACAAATATTTAAATAAATTTAAAAATTTTGAATTATTTTAGAATTAATAAATTCTTAAAAATTGCATTGTTGCTATGAAACTATTGATCACATTGTAAAATGATCACTTAACAGGGTAGAAAGAATTTAAAAAGAAAAAGTTAGCAAATAAAAAATCTGGAGAAAAAAAAACTGCCGTAGAATTAAAGTTTGGTGGTTCTAATATTTCTTTTTGCTAAATAAGATTAGTAAAACTATTTCAAATATAGTCAACATTTTTTTTAGATTGACCAAGTGCGTATCATGAATAACAGTTTCTGCTTCCAAAATAGAAGCGTTACTTTGTAGTATATATATATATATATATATATATATATATATATATATATATATATATATATATATATATATATATATATATATATATATATATATATATATATATATATATATATATATATATATATATATATATATATATATATATATATATATATATGATAAATCAATAAATCTACAGTTAGAAAAGACTTTTCAAACATAATAAATATTTATTGGTTTCAGTCCATATATATTACTTGATATGGTTGAGGTAAAAACTAAACATTTTGTAACCAATGATCGTTACTATTTTATTCTGTAGTAATAATAATTGGTTATATAATATATAATAATAAGTCGGAGCCGTATCAACTGAGAACAGATGTGGAGTACAATAACATAAGATATTGTACTATAACAGCTAATATTAGTTTTTGAATAATTATAGTGTTTTATCTTGACACAATTTGTCGAGGTAGTTCTTGAATTTGTCAATTGAGTCATCGTCTATGAATTTATTTGTCAAGTTATTCCATGGACTATTTACTCTGTCGAAAAAAAAGTTATATCTGCACTTGTTTTTACAAAAAGATTTATTTAAAGTGAATTTGTGCTGACGTAGGTTTAAAGCATGTTTAAAACTTTATTTTTGTGAACCCAGTTTATAATATTATGATTGTGCTTAAATGCGAGGATTAAATCACCTCGCATCCTACGTTTTTGTAAGGTTGTCAAATTCATCATTTTTAATCGTTTTTTGAAAGAAAATTTCTTGAGTGATGGTATAAATTTGGTTGCTCTTTATTGAATCTTTTTGATTTTGTCAATATCTTTTTTTTAGATAGGGACACCAAACTTGTACAGCATATTCAAGATGTGGACGCATAATTGTTATAAATAATTTTTTTTACCAAATTTACATTTAAGTTTTTGAAAGTTCGACGAATCAAACCCAGGACTGAATTAGCTTTACAAACTGCTGCATTAATATGCAAATTCCAATTTAGGTTTGATTGAATTATGACACCAAGATCACGTTTAGAATTAGTTATACAAGCTTGAAGAAAATCACTGTATATTAGGTAGGCAAACACACAAATATTTATTATTTATTAGTACTTTATTTTGTCAATACAATGTATATATTATGCAAGTAAGTATAATATATATTGACAAAACTTCATCTTGACTAAACTATAATAAAGGTGTGTGACACACGCATACACTTTGTTCCAAAACTGTAAAGTCTTTATGTTCTAAAATCCAAGAAACAGTTTTTTTTCAAAAATTCAGTTCACATATATTTTTTATATATAGTGGAAAAAGTTAAACTACCATTCTCAATTATGAGTAACAAAAATGCAAGTATAATTACAATGAAATGATCACAACCTAATACAAAGTAAGTTTATGTTACAATCATTTCATAAACAAATCTTTTAATAAAACTGTAAAGCTATTTCTATCTAGATTGTTTCTACTCCATTTGGCAATTCCTCTACATTATTTATACAAGTAGAACTTTTAGTAGAAATAATTTTGTATATACAATATTGAGCCATGATTTTTTTAGCCTAACCAAAAGACGCTACTCAGTAGTAACAATCATATATTAAAAAAAAATAAGAAAGCGACTGTATGTTAAGTAAAAAAATACAAAAATATTTTTTTCACCTTATAAAGAAAGGCAGTTATAAATATTGACAAATCTAAATCTTTACTAAAAAACTAAAGAGATGTAAAATGCACGCGCATATTGATTCAGAATCTTAAAGTTCTAAACTTCTAGAGTCAGGTTGTTTTTTTAAGTTTAGCTCATATATGCAAGTTTTTTTATAATTTTCAAAATTAGTGTTATATTTAATATTCTTAACTAAATTCTTCAATGTAAGTTTATATATAAAATTAAAGTGTGCAATTTTTGTATTTTTTTAATATCAATTTTAGAACGATAAGTGAAACATATCCCAATTGTTTGCACATGAGAGAAGCATGTCCTGATATTAAAGTGCAAAATTTTGCCAAATGTAAGTTCATCTGTTTTTATTCAACATTTAAATGTTTAAAATAAACATTTAAATGTTGAATAAAACAGATAAATGTTTTTCAAAATATTTAAAAATGTGTATGTATTTTTAACAAGTTGCTAAATAATACATTATGCATAATAATACATTATAAGTTATACATAAAACATTTCTTCAACAAGTTAAAAAAGAATTTCAACAATGCATTGCTGCATTTTATTGCTATATGATCTTGTCGATAAACTTTCATCAAGTTTTAAGTCTAATAGTGCAACAAGTATGTTATTAAATGTTGTCTTTTCCTTTTTAAAAGATGTTTATTGTATTTAATTTAATTTTCAGTTTTCCACAACAGTTTTTTATTAATATTTTACTTACTTCGAACTTTTTTTTTTCTAATAGGTTTTCAATGTATATATGTAACCAATATATATGTAATCAATGTAATATGTAAATATATATGTAATCAATGTATATATGTAATCAATATATATGTAACTACGATACCTGAAGTCTTAAAAAGACTGAGTTTGAAGATTCATAATTTTATTATGATAAAATAAATGATATAACAAGGTTTGATAAAAGTCAAATAATTTTAAATAATAAAGTAAATTTTTATTTGTTTATATATTCTTGTTAACATTTATGTATAAAGTTTTTCTAAATAAAGTAAAATGTGATCAAACTAAATTTATATATGATTTTTTAATGTCTCTGTCAGCTCTGCTATTAATGTTTTGGATGAAATAATGTCAAATGTGTTAAACTATTGTTTAAGAAAGCTGAAACTTATGGAAATAGATCATTTTGAAAGAACTTTATTGAGTAGAGTAGTAGTAGAAGAAGGAGAGTTCCGGGACATTTTCATTTTCAACCATATTTTCAACCATAAATTAATATTAATATAGGGTTAACATTGAACCATATTGTATATAAATTATTTCGATAAGAAATAATTTTTTATTTTAAAAAATTCAATTTTTTAAAATAAGTGTTCATTTTTTATTTCTTGTTATGAAATATTACGAAAAATTCTTGCATGACGTCACAGGTCACGTGACTTTTCTAATAATAAATATTATCTGGTGTTTTTAACTTTTCTTCTTCTAATCTTTCCTTTTCTAACTTTTCAGCATGTAATTTAATTTTATTTTGCAAATAACGAGCTAATCTTAATCTTCTTTTATAACTTACTAATTTAATATCTTTACTTGTACAATCCATTTCTTATAATTTATGTAAAGAAATTTATTTTCAATTTTTTTCTTGCTTCTTATTCAAACCCTAACGAATGCAAATACTGAATAACTTCAAGTTTTTACCATTTTTTGCAGCATTAGATAATGCATATTCTGTTCCTCTATACCCCATCGAATATAAATACTTTACTACTTCAAGATGACCATTTTCTGCAGCTTCATCAATTGCATTTTCTGTTCCTCTATACCCTAATTCATGTAAATATTTAACTATTTCAAGGTGACCATTTTCTGCAGCGAAATCAATTGAATCTTCTGCTCCTCTATACCCTTTTTCAATTAAATACTTTACAACTTCAAGGTGACCTTTGTGTACAACAAGATAAATTGCATATTCTGCACCTCTATACCCTAATTCATGTAAATATTTAACTATTTCAAGGTGACCATTTTCTGCAGCACGAGTAATTTCCCATTCTTCTACTCTATATCCAATAGAATGTAAATATTTTACTACTTCAAGATGACCATTTTCTACAGCAACATGAATTATCCAATCATAACATCCATATCCTAATTCAATTAAATATTTTACTACTTCAAGGTGACTATTTTTTACAGCATTATCTATTGCATCTTTTATACCTTTATAACCTAATGAATGTAAATATTTTTGTACATCTTCTGTACTCTTTACACCTAATTGATTTAATAATTTAATAAGATCATTTCTGCCTATACTTACAGCAAAATCAGCTTTATTACCTTTTTTATACCCATATTTTTTTAATATTGCAGTAATATAATATATTTGTGTTGAAGGCTCAATTATGTTTTTTATTAAAGAATTATTATTCTCATTATTATTTTCCATTCTTTTTATATACACAAGAAAATTATTTAATTCATTTTTTTATTTTTTTTCATTTTTTTTAATGCGCATGCGCTTGATTTATTTCTTAATAATATTCTATAGGTCTCTTATAGCATATAATTCTAGTTCAGTTGCAGTTATTAAAGTGGTTGAATTATTTTCAATGTAATTATTATATACAGGAATAACATTGGTAGATCCAACTGTAAAAATACTATTTGTACATACAGGTGCCCAATAACCATTACTTGTATCTAGTGTAAGTACTGCTCCTAAATTCATAAAGTTTTTTGTAGTTGTTAAATTTAATCCACAAAATCCTTGTCCTGAATTTGTATTACCGAATGGTGTTTCAGTTGATATGAGTTGTGCAATATTTTGATAATGCATAGACATCATTGGGAGGAATGCTTGTTTAAATATAATACTTTTCCATTCACCATTAATTTTATATCTTAAGCGATATTTATAATATCCATCTTTGTTTTTATAAAAATAGTTATTAGATAACTGACTATATTTTGTAGCTGTAGTTGGATTAGGACTATCATGATTATATGCTCCATAATAGTTATTTGGAAATAAATCTGTTACCACTTGCCTAACAAGTAGCGTTTCTCCTGGTATATAAATACTGTTAGCATATGAATTATTTTTAGCTGTAATTAATGCATTATAAAATTGTTGGGCTAAAAATATTTGTTGACGTGAGTCGTAATGTACGGTGTCGTCGTTTGTAATTCTCATGGAAGGTGGAAGATTAGTAATAGATATGCTTGCAGTGTGTGGAATATATTCTCCAATAGTTGATAGCGCATTTTGAACTGGTGTTGCTCTTGCTGAATTAGCTGAAACCCATACAGGTCTCATTTGAAAAGTAACGAATGGAATTGTATTAGATTTTGCTTGGGAATTTGTTAATGTGTAGAACTGATTAGATGAATACCCTATATAATCTCTTATGGTTTGAATAAAATTTACAAGAATATGTCTATAACTAAAATTCCAACCATCTATAGAATCATTTTCTCCTTGAGCCCAAGTCATACCACAAAATTCTGCGTTATAATGTGATAAAATATATCTAATTCTACGAGTTAAATTTCTAAATCCAGCACCATATGGCATAAAATAATCATCGCTGAAGCCTCTTCCACCTAACATACATGGAAGTATCATTAAACATTCATCTGAATTAACAATGTTTAAAGTATTAGCATCTAAAGAATCTTGCATTATTAAACCTGCTAATATTGAACCGTATCCAGAATAACACATATTATCTGATTCATTTACTTCTAGTCTAAGAGAACAAGGAAGTAACACATCATTTTGTCCATTATTCATTGCAAACTGTACTATTCGTCTATGCATATAATTTACAGTAGTTATTGCTTCAGAATGACCCCATTCTCTACCATAATAAGTATTTGATTGTCCAGCTACAATTAGAACTTTATATTTACGAGGATAAGGAATTATTCTTTCTATATAATTTGTAACAAATTCATATGTTGTATCAACATATTTTTTTGTAGCTGCATTTTGAAGATCAGTAGGATCTGCAACATTGATGAGTTTATTTGTATTTAAATCAATGTTACCAGTTGCACGATTCTGTCCATCAGTTCTTAGATACAAATTACTAGAAAGTTGTTTATTATCAACATAATCTTTTGTAGCAGCATCTTGAGGATTTGTAGGATCTAATACATTAATTAATTTATGCATATTTAAATCCATGTCAGAAGTTGCTCTATTATCTATATTAATATTAAGATTTAAATTTTCAGATTGACCAGAAGTAGTTAATCCGAAAACTGAATTACCGAATATATCAACACTCATTTTATATACTCATTATTTTTTTTACCAAAGTGTATTGATAATACTTTGAAAATCATTTCCTTCATTTAGTTTTTTTAAAACATAGAGACACAAGTGTCCGCAAAATGAAGTGTCTCCAAACTGCACTCGTTCACTATTATAATAAACAGGACTTTTTAAATATTGAACAAGTTCAACTGGAGGTTGTAGTGCATAAGAGTCAAAACTATATTTCACATCTCTGTCTTTATACCAACAAATCCAATGAAATCCATTTGTACTTGAATCTCCTGTGTTTATTATTCCACATTCTTTGTTTTGTGCATTTTTAGGTAATTCATCTCTTACAAATACACCTCTAAAATTTTTTATTTTTAATTTTTTTGTTGCTTTGATTAACTGAAAGTTTGTTAAGGGTTCATTTGGTAATATGATTCCTTCAACATTGATATACTTGTACATTTTTATTACTTTATTAAATTTTTTTAGATCTCTTTAGATATAAAAAATAACTTACCTGTGTTTGCCTGCCTGCTTGCCTGTTTATTTCCAATCAATCTGAAATGAAAAGTTGGGTTTAGGTTCCGAAGGAACCAATGTTTTACTCTCTTTTAATTTATAATGTCCATATGCTAATGTGTGAATACCATCTTCTTGAATTACTCTTTTATCATCTTCTGCACTCAATGCTATTTTGTTAATTTCTTCTGTATAAACATCATGTAAATGAGATCTTATGACATTCATTTTTCTCATTTGATCTCTCCTGCTAATCAGGCAATCTTTATAATCTTCATGTGTAATATAATTTTTTACTACATTTCTCTTTACTCCTTTACATCTCTTTTTATCTTCTTCATCTATTTTGTAAGAATACAACTTTGATCTGAGTCCAATAAATTCTGTAATTTGTTTTCCTGCTGACTCATCTTTAAACATTCCTATTACTTTCTTATTTACACCTACTTTAAATCCATTTTGAACAGCTGGATGATCTTTATTAAATTCACTTGTATCAAATTTACTTTCAATATCATTTGCAATATCTGCATAAAAGTCTTTTGTTTTTAATTCATAGATTAATGAATCTGTATCTGTATATAATAGTTTAGCTTTATCTTTATATTTATTTTTTATGTAATCATAATGAAATTCATACATTAGTGTTTTGCTCAAATCTAAAATACACATACCCAAGTAAATAGGCTTATTATATACAAGTTTTGTTCTTTTCATATGTATTGCAATTAAATTTTCATCAAATATCGTTCTACTTTCATAATTTGGTTTTGATGATAATTTAATAGCTTCTTCTCTTTTTGTAACTAATCTTACATCAACTCTGTTTTCAATGTTTTCCATTGTCTTTCCGAATACTGAATTATTCATAAGTTTAAAAAAGTCTTTTTCAAAGTCATTAGTAGCTTTTGTTCTTAGATCTGTATTGAGATTAATGTATTTACTCAACCATGCACTTTCTTCAAACTTTATTCCTCTGTGAATTTTTATTATTTGCATTCCTAGTCTTTCATACAGTTTTAAGTTTTCATAGTGAATGATATAATTTTTCTTATGATTTCTTATGATATCAACTTTGTCTATTTTTAATCTTTCAGGGGCTAGAGGATAATCATTATGAACATCATGTAAATGTTCAGGATATTCTAAATCTACATCTAATATGCAAGAAGTAGATTTCCAATTTTTTAATTCTTCTTCATTCATCCATTCAAATCCATGTGTAGGAAGTGGTTTACTCATTGCCCACCCATATAAATTATTTGCATCTAGATACTGTATGTAAGTAGATTCTTTACTTTCATCATAATTTTCCATATATTTATTGTTAGCAGTTCCTAACCTGTTAGAAACCATACTAATTCCACCTCTTATTCCTTCCTTTATCATTAAGATCATATCATAATCACTTAATAATTCTAATTTTACTTCTGTTATTTTCAACGCAGCATCCCAAGCTAATCCTGGTGCTGTATAGTACCAAGCAGGATCTAATTTGTAATTGTTAAAACAGACATCTCTAAAATTTTCAAAGACGTCAGCTAGTAGTAATACATCAGATTCGTTATATAAATTATGGTAATCTCTAAATGTTTCACAATTAAACTCTTTCCATACATTTTGAGCATGTAAATAATCTTCATCACTTATTCCTTCATCATTTAATCTTGAATAAAATGATTCTTTTGGTGGTAATTGTGTTTCATTTAATTTATCAATAGAGTCAACCCATTCATAAGGATAAACACCTTTTCTTAACAATAAATTGAGTTCATTTCCAGAATAGTATCTACTAATATTTTTACATTGATCTTTTGACAAATTTTTAGTTAAACTATCTAAACTAGCAGCCATAAATTTAAAACTATCTAGAAAACGTAGATACAGTTTAACTTCAACTTTTTTACCTTCTCTATTCATAAATTCATTTACTTTAAGTTCTTTAGAAAAGCTGATATATTTTTCTTCATTGTTGCGTATACAATTTATTTTTCCTCCTTCTGACAATTTCTTTATGAACAAGTGAGAATCATAACCAGATAAATTGTGAAATAGTACTGGAATAAATTTTGGAATTTTAAATTGTAAATTACAATCACTATGTGCAGCACCTCTATATTTTCCAGTAATATGACAATGATCTCGTACTTTATCATTATTAAGATCTTTTTCACAAATATGACAAATTTTTGCATTATCAAAATTATTTTTGTCTTTCATAGTAAATATCATCTTTTTTGGAAATTTTAAATAATCGTTGTAAATCTTTTTTACATCCTCTTCAAGCATATTAACAAATTTTTGTGCTACATCTTCATCTTCATTACTTGCAGTGAATGTAACTAGTTTACTTTGATATACACTTTCATCAAAGCATTTAATATAGTAACAAAATGAACTAGGTGTATGCTTTTGGTACTGCTTTGTATAAGATTCATTTGGATTAGGTGTACAAGTGTTGATTGGTTTTATAAAACTTTCAAAGTCTGCATAGACTACAAATGGCACTCTCATAGATTTTTTAAAATGATTAAGTTTAATCATTGTATTTGGTTTTGGA